GTTATTCTGTAGCAGTGATCACCCTGTAATAAATGCTATGTAGGTTGCTGGCATTTGAATCTTCAAGAATGCTCCTGAAACTTTGCTATGGGAACGTCTGTCACAGTCTAAGCTATGAACCAGGAGGTCACGGTTTGATTCCTGGTCAGGCACATGCCTGGGATGCAGGCTTGAAACCCATTGGGGGGCATGCAAAAAGCAGTTGATCAATGATTCTTTTGGATCATGGTAGTTTCTAGGTCTCTTCCTTTCTCTCTGAAATCAACAGTCTAACTGTTCTGTCTTCCAGGACTGTAAATGTCTGATGTTCCCTGTTTCCTTACTGCTCAGCTATGGTAATTCAAACCACGTACACTTTGGATTTCTGTCTCTTGGCATGCACACCCTTGACACTTCCGATCTTTTCTGATGTCCTGTTTCTGCTTTTGTTCTGTGTAATCTCTCTTTCCTATATTGTTATTTATCTACTATTTTCTATGGGTATAAAAGACTGATCTTGCCAGTGTTGCCAGTCAGTGAGAGACTCCTTCCTTCTTGGGTACACGACTCATACGGTGTCTAGGACATCTTTGGATTGTATGCCCGTTCTTGTCTCATTGTTCTTGCTGTATGCAGCTACTAGTGGCTCCTTTGGTGTGAAACACCATGATGGCTGGACTTAGAAGGGAAGATGGCATCGGGGGAAGTATGTGTTTCTTAGGTCAGAGTTTGAAGCCTAACTGATGGAAAGTCGAGATTTTATAACATCGGGGGCCCCGCAGAGATTTTCTGTAAAACCCCAGAGAGTGATGCTTTGGGCTTTCTGGGTCCTGAGGTCTCTGTCACAACTACTCTGCACTGCTGCTGTAGTGCACAGCAGTCATAGACGCTATGAAACACATGAGCGTGCCGTGTTCCATAAAACTGAACACAGAAATTTGAATTTTATATAAAAATTCTATAAGTAATGTTGTGATTTATAAGAAATATATATTTAATCATTTAGATGACCAAAATATATTTCTCATATCCATTTGGTTTTCCATAATTGCTGGCTCTCAGCTCCTGGGACTCCTGGAACATTTCCCAAGTGTTGGAGGTGTCTTTTGTTAATGAATTGCCTTTTGGAAAGCACCTAAGGATGGGAGCTGGTAGCCTGGAGACCCAACCATGTAATTAGAGGGTTGGAATTTTTTTCGTTTTTCCTAATTATAGTTGACATATTATACAATATTATATTAGTTTCAGGTATACAGCATAATGATTAGACATTTATATAATTATTCTAGAGGCCTAGTGCATGAAATTTGTGCACGGGTGGGCGTGGGGAGAGGGAGGGTTACCTCAACCCAGCCTGTACCCTCTCCAATCCAGGACCTTTTGGGGGATGTCCGACTGCCAGATGTCCCTGGGATCAGGCCTAACCCGGCAGCTGGACATCCCTCTCACAATCTGGGACTGCTGGCTCCTAACTGCTCACCTGCCTGCCTGCCTGATCGCTCTTAACTGCCCCTCCTGCCAGCCTGATCACCCCTAAATACTTCTGCCTGCCGGCCTGTCGCCCCTCACTCCCCCCGCCCCCCCACCCGCTGGCTTAATTGCCTGATTGCCTGCTTTTCAGTCATTTGGTCGTCCCTCATTACCCACCTGCTTGCCTTGTTGTCCCAAGCAGCCTGCTGTTCTGTCATTACTGTAAAGGCGTGCCGACCAATTTGCATATTATTATTTTATTACTATAGATAACTTAGGAAATGAAGGGTTGGAACTTTCATATATAATATATATAATTAATTTCAGAGAGGAAGGGAGAGAGCTAGAAACATCCATGATCCAAGAGAATCATCGATAAACTGCTTCCTGCACGCCCCCCACTGTGTTTCGAGCCTGCATCCCAGGAACATGCCCGACCTGGAATCAAACCATGACCTCCTGTTCCATAGGTTGATGCTCAACCAATGAGCCACACCAGCCAGGAGGTCAGTTTGATTCCTGGAGGTTAGAGGGGCTGGAGGTTGAATCAGTTGTCAATAGGCAATGATTTTAATCAATTGTGACTACATTATGAAGCCTCCATAAACATCCACAAGCATGGGGCTGGGCCAGCTTCTGGTTTGGTGAATGCGCGGAGATGCAGGGAGAGTGGCAGCCTGGGGACGGGAGGGAGCTCTGCGCCCTGCCCACATCCCTTGCCCTGTGCGTCTTCCCATCCGGCTGCTCCTTAGTTACACAGTGAGCCAGCCATCTGGGAAGTAATGGGTTTCACTGAGTGCTGTAAGCCATTCTAGCAAAGTTATCAAACCCAGGGGAGGGGGTCACAGAAACCTGTGGTTATAGCTTGTCATTGAGAAGAACAGGTGACGACCTGGACTTGCAATTAGCATTTTGCGTTGGAGGGGGTTTGCCGGTACCTTCCTCTGCAGCCCGTCAGTCAGAAGTACATCATCTGGGCTTGCATCCGGCGTCTGAAGTGTGTGTGGTGGTGGTGGGGGGTCTGAACTCTTAACCTGTGGAACCTGATGCTGTTTCCTGGTGGATAGCCTCAGAATTGAGTCGAGTTCTTTATATATATATATATATTTTTTTAAATATATTTTATTGATTTTTTACAGAGAGGAAGGGAGAGAGAGAGGGAGCTAGAAACGTCAATGAGAGAGAAACATCGACCAGCTGCCTCTTGCATACCCCCCATCGGGGATGTGCCCGCAACCAATGTACATGCCCTTGACCGGAATCGAACCCGGGACCTTTCAGTCCACAGACCAATGCTCTACCGCTGAGCCAAACCGGTTTCGGATATATGTATGTGTGTGTGTGTATATATATATATATATATATATATATATATATGTTTTATTATTGATTTTTTACAGAGAGGAAGGGAGAGGGATAGAGAGCTAGAAATATTGATGAGAGAGAAACATCGACCAGCTGCCCCCTGCACACCCCCCATTGGGGATGTGCTCGAAACCAAGGTACATGCCCTTGACCGGAATCGAACTCGGGATCCCCCCAGTCCACAGACCGATGCTCTATCCACTGAGCCAGACCGGTTTTGTCTGAGTCGAGTTCTTGAACACCGTTCTGGTGCCTGAGAATCATTTGCTTGTGTGGGAACACCTCTCTCCCCCACCGGGAAATTGGATCTGGGAACCCAAGTCATCCTCAAATCGCATAAGAGTGTAAAAAAATGTTCTTAGCAGGTGGGCCATCCAAAACCAGGCAGAAGGCAGGATTGCGCCTGGGGCCATTCGCACTAATGACCATCCCTATATAGTTTTGACTTGAAAAGTCCCGATTCCTGACCCGCTGTTAAAAGGCCTTTTAACACTCCACATTGTTGATGCTGCCTTTAAATTTTAAACTTCTGGTGCTGGTGACAAATGGCCTCTTTATGGATTTTATGTGTAACTTACTCCAAAGAGCTACTCGTTTCCCTATCACAGTCTTAGTCTGTGTTTCAGGGCCTTGCTTACGGTGGGGCCACATTCGAGACTGCAGTTTAGTACTGCCTTCTGGCCCGATACTGCTGTGAAGCAGCACATTTTTGTCTGTTTGAATAAGCATTTCTTTTAAGCTTGTACAAATGCTGTCGAGGCTCCTCCCCCGCCACAGATCACTGGCTGCCAGGGCGGCCGGGTCCTGAGGTCTCTGAGTTTGCTCTGCCTGCGTGCGTGTGGGTGGTCAGGCCCTTGCATGGCAGCCAGGAAGTGCTGGGAATTTAATGGTCCTGAGAGCAACCCTCAGCCCAGGAAGTGTAGGTTTGCGTTTTTATATGCAAGTATGTTCTTTTCTAGGGTTTTGTGGTGTTTTGTTTTTTTTTTCCTTCCCCCTGGAAAGCTTTGTTTGACTGTTCGTTTTTTTGTTTGTTTGTTTTTAAGTATTTTTCCTTTTTTTTTTTAGTTGATAGTTTAACATGTTTGAAAAGTTTTCACTATTATTGCTTCTTTAAAAACTAGCTGGCCACGTGTGGCTCAGTGGATTTGGGCATCATCGGCCGGTGCACCGCGAGGTCATAAGTTTCATTCCCGTTTGGTATATGTACAGGACGCAGCCAATCTGTGTTTTCCTCTCATCTCTCGCTCGCACTCGCTCGCTCTCTCTCCTCCCTTCCCCTCTCTAAAAATCAGTTAAAAAAAACCAACAAAACACAAAAAAACTAGTTGGAGTTAGATTTAGGTTGTATGTGTATTTTGCTGGCTTACTGTTAACAGCTGCCTTATCTGGGATAGCCAAATCTTACATAAATTATATTCTTTATTTGTGTGTGTTTTTTTAATTGCATAGGACTATTAAAAAGTTTTAACAAATATTTAACATTTTCTGTTACACTTGTACCAAAATACATTGGGGGGAAAGTTAGCATGACTTTATAAATTACTTTTCTTGGAATATATTTGGGGCATCGCGTAGGGGTGTGTGTGTGTGTGTGTGTGTGTGTGTGTGTGTGTGTGTGTGTGTTAGATTATCCTGTTACCTGTGGGTGGCTTCCCTCCCTCTCCCTCCTTCTCCCCCAATGCTCTTCTTCTAGGCTGTTGGTGTTTGCTCACTCTGGTTCCGTATCTTACTTTTCCCTGTTCCTTACCCACTTCAACACACTTCTGCAGCGTCACTCACTCCAGCCTTCTCACCTACTTTATCATCAGAATATTGTCCATTCCTCAAGGCGGGGCTCAGGACCCCCCCCCCCCCCACACACACACACACGCTCCACTTTATTATTTATCCTTCAGATTCCTGCCCCAGGGTTCCCTCTGTTCCCTGACTGACTGGGGAGAGGGTTTACCCTGTCACCCAGGACCCCCCGGAGGACCTCCCGTGGGCATTATTGGGTCTCGGCCGCCTGGGCAGAGATGTGCTTTTCAGCTGTTCTTATGTCTTTCATGCCTATCCCATAAAAGGAACTTAATATTTAATGGTTTCTATTACATACCCTACTACTTAGCTTTCTGCTTTTAAATTTCTCTCAAGGTGATCTTAGTGATTTTTTAAAGTATTTTGTTTGTACTTTTTTTTTTTAATAGATGTAAAAAAAGATTGGTCTGACCATGCTCTGTGGTGGGAAAAGAAGAGAACTTGGCTTCTCAAGACACATTGGACCTTGGACAAGTACGGCATCCAGGCGGACGCCAAGCTGCAGTTCACCCCCCAGCACAAGCTGCTCCGCCTGCAGCTTCCCAACATGAAGTATGTGAAAGTGAAAGTGAACTTCTCTGACAGAGTCTTCAAAGCTGTTTCTGACATCTGTAAGACTTTTAGTAAGTATTCCATGCATTCTTCACGAAAGTGTGGGAAGCATGTATGATGTGGCTGATGACTGACACTTAGCTTATCTCAAGGAGCAGAGGTTGGGGTCAGCTCTCTAGGTATGTATATTTATGAAAGTTTTACTTTAAAGTTTTTGTATTACTTTAAGATAAAGAAATGTGTAAAAATTTTTTTCCTTTCTAGAAGTATATCAGGTATCTATTATGTAATGCTTCATTCTGATGATGAATTTTTATGGGAAAGAGAAGAGGACAGGGAAGGAAACTGGTATTATTTTCAGAGGGAAGTAGCTTTTGCAGTGTTTCCTTCACGTAAGTCACTATTTGATTTTGGCGATTCAGGCAGATTATGTCACTTCCCGCATCCAGGGCCTGACAAAGCTCCTAAGGAAATGGCTATGAGTGTTGCCTTCCTTAACCAGCCTACAGTTTGAATACTCTTGTAGTAATTCTGTTTTATGCTTTCTGACATGAGATGTGGATTAATTTTGGCTGACCCAGTTATGTCATGTGACTGAAAGAATTCAGCCATCAGTGAAAATGTGAACTGTCATCTTTATCACTAGTTTATATAATAACTCTTGTGCTATAGATGAGAGTAGCAATTTTCAAACAGTGTGCCACAAGAATTTTTAAAACGTGCAATATCAAACTATAATCTAGTCAGGGGCACTGACTTCTTTTCCCTTAGATTGTCAAATAAAAAACGACACCAGCCAAAACAACCATAGCTGTCTGCTGTGAATTAATCAAAATTATACCTATATTTTTTGGTGCGCTGCAGAGTTTTAGTTACTAGTTTATGGGTGCTGTGAGATGAAAAAGATTGAAAATCGCTGGCTTAGGGGGAGATGCAGGTAGGTTGACATTACTGTTTTGGTCTAATGACTCTGAAATTATATCTTTTATGTTAATGAAATTTTTAAGAAAAATTAAAATAACAAAAGTTATTGTAGAGTCTTCAATGAATTAATTATCTAGAATTAATAGTTTATATAATTTAGAATTAATTATCTAGAATTAATATTTATATCATTTGCCAAACTTATATATATATATATTATTTATTTTTTTTTTTTTTTGATTTCAGAGAGGAAGGGAGGAGAGAGAGGCAGAAACATCAATGATGAGAGAGAACCATTGATCGGCTGCCTCCTACATGCCCCCCACAACCCAGGCATGTGCCCTTGACCAGAATCCATGGAGTCGTAGGACTGAATTCCCCCTGGTTTGTCTGCCAGAGGTCATTCCTGCTCCCAGAGGCCTCCTTCCTCCATCTTCAAAACCAGCAACAGCAAGTTCTTCCTCTGCGTTCAGTTCGATCTTTCCTTTTGTCTTGTCTCTCCTCTCTTTTCTGTTTGGAAGGCTTCCTGTGATTCATTAGACCTACCTAGACAAGCCAGGATATTCTCCCTAAAATCAGTGGATTAATAACTTTAATTCCATCTACAAAGTCTCTTCCCAGCAGTTCCTCAATTAGTATATAATTTTGTGAAGAATTTTAAGGGAAATTTCTAGAATTCTTACCACGGAGGTCTTTTTTAGATGTCTGTCAGTCATTTATAGTTCATTCATACATCTGGGTTAGGAGTGGGGTTTAGTTTGTCCCCTTTCTGCAGGGGGTTCTCCCAGCCTGGGCAGTGGTGGCATTTACAGCTGTGGGTACACTGAGAATTACTTAGTGTGGGCCCGATTGAGTGCAACTCATAAACCATTAGGTCTCTTAGAATGCTAAATCTTGTTTCTTTTCTAAGCAGTCCAGGAAATGATGCTTTGATTTAATTTACTAATTAGATTAGAAAATATGGCTTAAAAGATACACCTGAAATATTTTATGAGTTTCTGAATCTACATAATCATAACAATTAGTGCTAATGCATCATACCCCCAGAATTATATTTGAGGATAAGTGGATTAACTTCTTTATACTTTGAATATATAAGATTTAAGAAAATCTTTTATTTTTAATTGTGTAATGTTAAAGAATATGTTGCTCTATTTTTAAACTTAAAAAAAAAAGAAATCAGATACACCTAGAAGCTTTTCAGAAAGTGACAGAATTTAAGAAACATTTATTTTTAACACGATTTCTGCTGTCTAATACTTAAGATGTACTTACCCAAATTTATTAATATTTAAAAAGAAGTGAGCCCGGTTTGGCTCAGTGGATAGAGCGTCCACTAGAATGCAACTCAAGGAGGACTGAGGGTCCTGCGGTTCAATTCCATTCAAGGGTACATGCCCGGGTTGCAGGCTCCATCTCCAGCAGGGGGCGTGATGTTTCCATCTCTCCCTTCCTCTCTGAAATCAATCTATCTATCTATCTATCTATCTATCTATATATATTTAAAAAGTAATTATGTTCACCTACTGTCTGGGTAACCTCTCTGTTTAGGATGTTTTTTCCTGGTAATTTTATTTTGATGTTTCAGGAAAAAATTCCCCAGAAAATAGCCTGTGACATCAGAACAAAACAAAAACCTAATGTGTGCAGTCTTCCTAATGGTAGAATTTAGATCATCAACACAGGAAAAATCCTGTATAGTTATTAATATACTTATTTGGACTTCTTTTACTTTTTAAATTTTGGATAAGGTGTACAGATATATATTTTTAAAAAGTCCAAAGTTGTTTGCCAATATGTTAATTTTTACAGCAAGTTAACTTTGATTTGAAGAAATGTAATAGAAAAATGAGCAAAGAGAAGAAATAGATATAAATGGCTAAAAACCCTTTAGGAATTGTACCACCGGGGATGCGCCGGCAACTAAGATACATGCCCTTGACATGACCCTTCAGCCCACAGGCCGATGCTCCATCCACTGAGCCAAACTGGTTTCAGCTGATTATCCTCATTTTACTGATGAGGAAATCAAGACACTGGCGGTGGAGTAGCTTGCCAAAGTCACACGGCTAACGAATAGTGGAGCTAAGATTTGAATCCAATTAGTTTGGTTTGGTGCTTCTAACTCAAATTGTGCCTCACCAGCCCTGCAGCAGTACGTCCATCTAAGTTTCAGGTCCCCCTACGAACAAAAAGCTTCCTGAATTTATGATACTGGATTGAATCTGGTGGATATTGTGGGCCTCCGAAGGTACAAACTGCCGCATGTAAAACTTGGATCTAGTAACCTAGTAACCTGTAGCATTACAAGTTACATGGTGATTTGTATTGTTTTCTGCTCTATTCATACCCTGACAGATAATGTAGTGCCGGGAAACATTATACTATATTTATACTATACCCAGTGCTTCTCCCTTCTGCTATTTTTTTTTCCTTAGCTCTCCCTATCTTTCTGTTCTTTATTTTTATAATTAACTTTATCCTGGTATAATTGGTATAAAATAAGTTGAACCTATTTAAAGTGCACAGTTTGTTGAGTGTTGACATATCTGAGAAACTACCATAATCAAGACACAGAACTTTTCCAGTTAGCCCTCAAACTTCAACCAGACCACCACAGATAGGCTCTGTCACTATAGATTCGTTGTCATTTTCTTGGAATTTTATGAATGGAATCATACAGCATATACCCTTTTCTCCTTGGCTTCTACCAGTTAGTGTGATGGTTGGTCGATACATTCGTGTTACTGCAGGTGTCGATAGTTTGTCTTTTTTCCTGATGAGTTGTGTTCCATTTTATGAGTATTCCACTGACATGAAAGAAAACATTTTATTTATCCCCTTGGGTTAATCCATTTTGGGCTTTTATGAGTAAAGTGATTATATATGTGCTATTCATTTTCTTGAGATAAGAACTACTAGTGAATGTTTGAGCTGTATGTGTTTAACTTTGTAATAAATTGCCAGACTGTTAAAAAAAAAAAAATCCTCGTTTCACATTCCCACCAGCTGGGTATGAGGTTCCTCCTCCACATCTTCACCCACACAGGGTATCATCAGTCTTACAGTAATGTTGGCTACTCTGATGCGTGCCTAATGCTATCCCGTGGTTTTAATTTGTATTTTCCTGACCAATATGTTGGGCATGTGTTGCTTAGTCATTCTTGTGTATTCTTTGGCAAAGTGATTTTCAAATCTTTGTGCCATTGGTCTGAGTTGTATGGGTTATTTTTACATTTTAGATACAAGTCCTTTGTCAGGTTCACATATATGTTTTGTGAATATTTTGTCCCAGTATACAACTTGCCTTTTTTGTTTCAACAGTGTCTTTCAAAGGGCTGGTTTTTGTTTTTGGCTTCTTAAAGAAATTTGTATTTAATTTTTTTATTTATTTAAGGGAGAGAGAGAAACATGAATTGCCTCTTCACTCATTTGTACATTCATTAGTTGATTCTTGTATATGCACTGACTAGGGATTGAACTCACAAACTTGGGCATATTGGGGTTACCTGGCTATTTTTGTTTGTTTTTGTTTTTGTTTTTTTAAAAGAAGGCCCTAGCTGGTTTGGCTCAGTGGATAGAGTGTTGGCCTATGGACTGAAGGGTCCCAGGTTCGATTCTGGTCAAGGGCACATGCCCGGTTGCAGGCTCAGTTCCATCTGTTGAAAATATTGTCCTTTCCCCTTGAATCGCTATGGCACCTTTGTTCAAAATAACTGACCACCTATATATGGGTCTGTTTCTGGGCCCTGTCTTCCATTTAATATGGCTTATCACTTAGCCAATAATTGCAGTCTTGATTGCTGTATCTTTATAATGTCTTGAAATCAGGTAGTGTAAGTGCTCTAACTTTATTCTTTTTAAAAATTGCTTTGACTATTCTAAGATTGTTCTTATTTCCACATACATTTTATAGTCAACTTGTGCAAAAAATCAAGGTGAAATTTTGAATAAGATTCCATTGAGTCTTTAGCTCATTTTGGGGAGAATTGACTTCTTAACAATTCTTGAAGTTCATGGACATGGTAATATATATAATATATAATATCATGTATACCTATCTGAATTGTCTCTAATTCCTTTTTTTACTTTCATTTAACTATTTTGCCTCTAATCAGGTTCTCCACATAAATTAATAGAATTTTGACTTAATTAAAAATTTGAGATTTGATAATGATATGAAAGTATTTTCATTACATTTACTTTACATACAGAATGAATGAGAACTGCCATATAATATAAAGCTTATTTCTTATGGTTTTAGATAAAAATAAATATGTAAGTAAGAATTCTTATATTTTCTTTTTGTGCCATAGAATCACTTTCTTGCCACTTTGAGGTTACTACATGTATTAGATAGGTGGGAATTAACAGTGCTTTTCTGGGAGGGGAGGGAGCGATCAACCAAAGGACTAGTATGCAAGTGTATAAGCCTAAGCAATGGACACAGACAACAGGGTGGTGAAGGCATGAGTGGGGGGTAGGAGGGATATAGGGGGAATAAGGACACATATGTAATACCTTAATAAATTTTTAAGAAGTGCTTTAGAAGTTTATTTTTTAAATTGCATATTTTAGTCTTCATCAATTAGCTCAGTTAGTTGGAGCATCATCCTGATATCCCAGGGTTGTGGGTTCGATTCCTAGTCGGGGTGCATGCAGGAATCAACCAATGAATGCATGGGGGGGGGTGGAACAACAAGTCGATGTTTCTCTCTCTGTCCCTCTCCTCTCCTCTCTAAAAATCAATAAAGGAAAAAAAAAAAGTCATATTTCAGTCTTTTACGTGGCAGTAATATGTGGCAAAACAAGCACACATACACAGAAGGAAATTAAAAATTCTTAATTTGAAATGGGTTAATAGGTGGATTTACCAAATGTAAAGTGTTTAAATTTTCTCTTATTCTAGTAAAATAATCTTATCTTAACAGATATCAGGCACCCTGAAGAACTCTCTCTCTTGAAAAAGCCCAGAGATCCAACCAAGAAAAAAAAGAAAAAGCTAGATGACCAGTCTGAAGATGAGGCACTTGAATTAGAGGGACCTCTTATTACTCCTGGGTCAGGTGAGTCTCTTACTCAGCAGGGGTTCGATGTGAGAACCGTGGACTGTATGCCCGGGTGCCTCTTTAATAGTGAATGCATGGGTTTCATAGGTCAGAAGAGGGGTCAGAAAAAACAGCTCCCTTCAGCATCTTTCCCTCCAGCATGAAATTGCCACCAGGGTGTGCGATGTGCAGGTTACCTCGCCATTGTAACAGTGGCATCAGTGAAGATAAGGCTGGTTCTCTGCTCAGGAAGAGTAAAAAAAGGGACAGGACCGTTACTGGGCTCAGTTCTTGACTTTTCAGAAACTGGATAGTTTTTGTTTTCCAAATCACAAGAGAACATTTGTTTGAAAAATACAGAGGTAAAAGAAGTAATTTGTAGAAGAAATGGATTTAGGAAACAAGTTATAGAGGTAAAGGAAGTGCCCTTGGAGTTTGGGAGTGAGGAAGGTGATGTCACCGCCTGGGGCACAGGGAGGAGGAAGGGAAAGGTGAGGGTGTGGTCCTGGGAGGGAGAGGGTTGGGATGCTTTAGAATTTAGTTTCTTTTTTCTGCATCTCATGAAAACCGCCACTGTTTCGTTAAGACATGCTATTAACTTTTGTCTGGTTACTGAAATTCTCCTCTGTGCTTGCAATATGCCAGTCCCTTAGCATCCATGCCTTTTTTCCCTGATGGTTTGCTCCTTTAAGAAGCTTTTTCAAGTTTCCTTCCATTACCTTCCCAACCTGGGTTAGGAATTCTAATTCAATTCATTCTTGGTTTTTTTAATTTTGGAAGGATGACAATGATGGTACCAAAAGCAAACACTTCATATCATCATGCTTAATTGTATGCCCAGAACTATTTCACACACTTTGCCTGTGGAAATTAATTCAATTCTCACTACAATCATTTGAAGTGGATTATATTACCGGTAGTACTCATATTTAAATGATAAATTGTGGCACAGTAAGGTTAGGAATATCTAAGTTCACATACCTCGTCACTTTTATGTCACTACTCATGTAATGATTGCATCTGATTAACAGATAATCCTTACTCTTATGTAGGTTGTAGGCTAGTTGAAAAACAGTCACTATATTTTAGGAGGTAAGGATTTAGAAGTCAGAATAATTCTAAAGAGGGTGTACTGCATTCAGTTTTTATTGGGGAAGTTTGTGAATTGAGCTGTTAAGTTCCAATGGTTAGGATTTGATGGGGAGAAAATGCAATCCAAGCAGAAAGAATGATATTAACAACATGCCGGCTGAAGAACAGTACAAAACATGAACAAAAACCAGTTGATCCAGTTCACGGGGGAGAGAAACCTTCAAGGAACTTCAGGATCACACTGGCAGGTAATTAATGTCAGGCTGAGGAGCTTAGAATAGTGCATTGTAGAGGCATTGGCTTCTGAATCTCTTACAAAATGAAATCATTGTTTTAAAGGAATACCAAATTCACCTGTAGTCAGAAAATGTGTTGGAGGGGGTGAGGGGAAAGGTTTCAGGTAGTGGTAGAAGCTACAGATTGAGGAGGTAAAAGAATATGTTCATCATTAGAATAGGGCTAATTTTAACATTCAATTTAGGCATATGATTTATATTGATAAAGGCACCTGACAGTTGACGTAATCTCTGTTTTCAGTTATTTTATATTTAAATGGAAACGCATCTGATTCTAACAACATAGAACTACATAGAAAAGTATATAGAGTGGGCAAAAGTAGGTTTTTAGTTCATATGGAAAATCCTACAATACTTAGTAAATAATAATGTAAGAATAAACTGTTCCATATATTCACAATTGTAAACCTACTTTTGCCCCACCATGTATTTGTGGGGTGATTTTGGGGTGGTTGAAATCAGGCAGGATTGGTCTTAGAATTGCAAATTAGAGATTTTGTACAGTACCATTTGAAACAAAGGATGATGAATTTAGATGAGGGAAAGCCAGAAATCTTTGGACTGAGTAGCTGTAGGTTTTGTTTTTATTGAGGTATTAACATAAGGTAAAATGCATAAATTTTAAATTACTGATGAATATTTGCAGACATATAGACCTTGCAATCACCCAGGATATGATATAGCGTATAGCATATAACATGATATTAGCTACCCAGACTCCCACATGCCTTTTCCCAGTCGCAATCCCACAAAATAACCACTTTCTGCCTCTGACCACAGATTAGCATTTCCTGTTGAATCTCAGGAATGAATCATAGACTATGTGCTGTCCTGGGAAGCAACTGTGCTTTGAGCGAAGGAATTAAAAAAGCAGGTTTTAGTTATCTACTTCCAAGCAGTTTAAAGACATTTGAGGTGTTCCAACAAGGTAATATGGAATATTGAGAAAGTACACAAAGATAGTGATATGTAGAGAACTGATCTGTAGAGAAAAAAGTCCACTGAGTGCCATACACACACACATAAAGTAATATGCAATTAGTTTTTAAAAGAAATATTAACTATCTAGTTTGCCTGTGCTTTTTTTTATGATTTGTTAGGACTTGAATCAATTATTGGCCCAAATATTGAAAAATAGGATCAGTTGCATGTTGTGTCAATCAGTAGCATCAGGTCCAGATATCTCAATACATGACATCTTCAGTGCATCAGACACTGCTCAGCACTTCACAAATGGTCCTCTGCTCAGGGGTGGTGAGGATTAGATATAATCTTCATTTTCTGAGGAGAAAGTTCCCCTTAGGTTCCCACATGCTTCTTGAATTGTGAGCATCTCACAAGGTGCCCCTGGTCAACAGAACTATGTATCCAATAAATGGTAACGATTATTTAATACATACATTATTTTTTCATTTGAGCCTCACAAAACCCCTGCAATTCTGGTGTATTATACCTGTGTATAATATAGGGAGAGAATATATAAGGGTTTGTAGTTTGTCCAGGGTCACAAAACTAATAAAAGGGGCAGAGCTAGGATTAAATCTAAGTCTGTCTGGCTACAACACTTGTGTTTCTAACCATTATGTGACATTCATCTATCCAATTATATTTAAGGCAAATGTTTTATGAATTCTAATAGGAACATTTGGTAAAATATTAATGTGTAAATTATAACTCAACAGAGCTAATTTTTAATAAGTAATGCTTTAGGAGGTAAAGGATCACGCGTGTGAATTAATGATTCTCAGACTATAGTAAAATTGTTACATAAAATTTTGATAAAATTCTATGAAATACTTTGCCTTTCTGGCTGTGGTCAGCACATTCTCGAGTGGATTTGCCACTTCTAACTGTACCTAAGTAAATATCTAATTTCCTATTACCTGTTGTTAACTATTGGAGGAGACCCATTGAACTGGCCTGATCCCAGGTCTGGGGGAAACAATTTTTCCAAAAATAAATTAATTTTACAGTAAAGTACTGATGTACAAATTACTAATTTCAGGATGTATTAGGTAAATAAAAATACAAAATGATTGCATCAGAATTTTAAAAAAAATCTTAGAGGCAGGAAAACTCTGGGTCTTAAAATAATACATACAGGAAGTAATCAGTATTCACTTGCTTTGCACTGTCAGGAAAAATCACTTATGCAGGATGTCTTTTTTTTAACTGGAACTTGCCATTTTAAGCATCAAAACATTTTTTAAAAATACTATTCTTAAATTATAAAAGTAATGCATGTACATAGCAAAAACTCAAATATAGAATTATGTATTCATTTTTGTTCTTAATGAAAGTGAGACTGTTACACATACATTTGTAATTTCTTTTTTTCACTCAGTGATATAACTAGATCTCATATCTTTTTAATTTCAAAAGTCAGACTTGAATACAGCCTTATGAAAAATTTAAATAGTGCGGAAAACTTATTATACTGAAAGTGGAAATTATACTTCAACTTAATCTGTTATTCCTTTCCAAAAAGTAGCCATTTAAAAAATATATATTTTTAATTGATTTTTTAGAGAGAGAAAGGAGGAGGCATAGATAAAAACATGGATGAAAGAGAAGTATCATTGAACAGCTGCCTCCTATATGCCCCCTACTGGAGATCAAGCCCACAACCCAGGCATGTGCCCTGAAGGAGAATGGAAACAGAGACATCTTGGTTCAGGGGTTGATGCTCAACACACACACACACACACACACACACACACACACACACACACACATTAGAGGCCTGGTACATGAATTTGTGCAATGGGTGGGGTCCAGCCAGCCTGGCCAGGGGGGAGGGGACATGGGCGGTTGGCCAGCCTGCCTGCTGGTCGAACTCCTGATTGAGGGGACAATTTGCACATTAGCCTTTTATAGGATATAGACTGATGGCCAGATTATTATGTGTTCAGAGATCATAATAATCTGGCCACTCAGTGTATATAAAAACCCTGGGTCTTAACTCTGGTAACTACCGGAGACTAACCAACCAGAAATCAGTGCTGGTCCCGCCCCCAAGCAAGTAGTAAGGGGCAATCAGGCAGGCAGGTAGAGTGATTAGGAGCGATCAGATAGGCAGACCAGTGATTAGGGGTAATCAGGTAGGCAGACTAGCGGTTAGGGGTGATTAGGTAGGCAGATGGTCCCTCGCTGGACTGGCCCCACTCCCAAGCAAGCAGTTAGGGGCAATCAGATAGGCAAACAGAGTGGCTAGAGGTAATCAGGTAGGCAGACCAGCAGTTAGGGGCAATCAGGCAGGTAGGCTAGTGGTTAAAGTCAGGTAGGCAGGCAGCCCCTCATAGAGCTGGCCCCACCCCCCAGCATAGAAAGAGGGAGGCCCAGGCCAGCCAAGCCATTGCACCCCAGCCTGTCACCTGCAGAGGGAGGCCACGGGTGGCAGGGGATAGGGGGCAGAGCTGCACAGGTGGCAAGCAGTGGCATCAGCTGCCTGCAGCCTGGGGAAGGAAAGGCCCGATAGGCCCTGATCTCAAGCCAGGCCTAGGAACCCTACCTGAGGGGTTCTGGATTGTGAGGGTGCAGGCCAGGCAGAGGGCCCCACCTGAGTGCGTGAGTTTTCGTGCACCAGGCCTCTAGTCTATAATAATCAGTTAAGAACCAGATTCTCCTATGTTAGCATATAGCATTACCCTCAGGAGCTAATAGGTAGCCTGAGACTGCAGTGCTCATTGAATTCTTTATTTCTTCTCATAGTTTTAAGTTATCTTCCAATGCAGTTCAGCAAACTCATATTTTGTTGCTAAGATAATTCCCCATCTAAGCTTGTATTAGTTTTCTGTTTCAAGTATGTTTTAAATGGGGCAATCAGGAGTAAAAGCTAATTGGGGTTGTCACTGAACTGAGACTTAAAAGGAGTTTAAAGTGCACATACCCTCTGACCTAGCAGTGCTGCTGGAATTGGGAAATAAGCACAAAAAATGTGTATTAGAAACCTTTTTTTGCAACAGCAGTGGCCACATCAGTAACAAAACACTAAACAAATAAATGCACACTATTAGGTATGGCTTAAATAAGTTATAGTTCCCTGGAGGCAGTGATTATAGCTGCAGACTGGCTGATATACAGCAGACTCAGCAACTTAATAGTTCTTGACATTGGACAAGGTGTTGAACCTCTTTGTGCCTCTGTGTGTTCCTCTGAAATGAGAATAATAAGGTTGTTAGGAACAATAAGTGAGTTATTATCAGAGTGCCTAACAGAAATAAGAGTAGGAACAATGAAGTGATCAAATGTGAAGTGTACAAAGAATATGAAATTGAGAAAAAGAGATTTGAGCGAGAGGCTGATTGTATTAAATGTGTGATTTAGGGGAATGTATTTTCTGCTTGAGAAACTTCATAAAGAAAATGATCAGTTCTAACTTTGCTCAAGTACCCTTGTAGTTTTTAAAGCTATGAGTAATACCCTGTTTCCCCGAAAATAAGACAGTGTCTTATATTAATTTTTTCTCCCAAAGTTGCGCTAGGTCTTATTTTCAGGGGATGTCTTATCTTTCCATGCGCTAGGTCTTATTTTCGGAGGATGTGTATTTTCGGGGAAACACGGTATCCCATTGTTCTTTTAAAGGCCTAAAAAGGAAAGTTCATGTTGTTGCTTACCTAAGTTTCACAATGTTCAGATTCTAGAAGTAGTTTTCGTTCTGACAGTGGAAAAGCACATATTAGGGACACCAAGTCTGATATCCTGGAGCTAGCAAGAAGGTTTGTTTGTTCTTTTTTATTGTGTTCTCGTCCTAGAGTAGGTCATGACAGCCGCATAAATCTCTAGCATCGCCACCACTTTTTTCATAGGTAACTGATTCTATCATTGTGTGGTGCGGGGGTTAGGAAAGGAGAGAGATTCCTAAGCACATTCCTAAATCAGGTAAAGGAAACAGCCACCATTCTCCTATTATCCATTAATAGTATGATACCCATTTTGTTTTTTTAATATTACGACTGCAGTCAAAATAGAATTAACTGAGTTGGGACTTTGGAGAATAGGTGCTATCCGTTGACCAATTCAACAAATTATTATAATACTTAGGTAGCTGTACACCTAGCTCCTAAATACCAATGAATCAGAAATAAAAGAGACAGTATCCCTTCAGGGTTTTTCACTGTAAAATGTCCCTTTGTTGGCCTTTTTCCAGGGCAAAATTTTATTACCCATTTTAAAAAATTTTTAATCTAGTTTTTTGTTGTTGAGAAAGCAACAAAAAAGGTTGTTTTTTGTTGAGTTACCCCTTTACTTTTAATATTTTGTTTGTAAATCTGCTGGAACCAGTTTAGCTATTCACTGGGAAAACGTTAACATACAATTATTTATGTGAATTAATTCACTTATATTGAACTGTCTTAAAACGGTGTGGATTTCAAAGGTGATAAACATGGACATATTTGTTACTAGACACTTGACCAAAGCACAGTTTCAGTTTTTTAATTGGACAGAAAACTTAACTGTACTTAGGTTTTATCTTCTAAGGTTCTTTACTCTCAAATCCACTTGAAATACGTACTTCAGTTTTTGATTCACCATTAGGAAAAATCTGTTATTTCTTTTTCCCATTTCCTTTTCATTTTCATCCTTTTGTTTCTGTCTTCTATTGTTGCCTTTCCTTTACCTTCTGAATTCCTTTCTTTCCTTTCCTATAGGCACTGATGTTCTTTACATTGGCCCTCTGAAAGGTGAGCCTTGCCACAATTAAAATCAGAAAACACCTTGGTCTGCTTTAGCGGTATCCTTAACTTGCCTTCGAATTCTCTTGAACGGGTTCCCTCCCTCCCCCCAGAATTTCCATCGACTTAATTATTGATATATTCCTTTGGCCTTGATATTATATGACCTAATGTTACACAAGTAGAGTGTTAAAGTTAATTTTACATGTTTTCAAGACAGGTAAAGTAATGTACTAAGCTTTCTTACCATTATATCATGTGTTACTGAAAACTAAGATTCTGTACTCCCTACTTACTACCTATTTTTCATGTTGTTTATTAGGAAGTATATATTCAAGCCCAGGACTTTATAGTAAAACAATGACCCCCACTTACGATGCTCATGATGGAAGCCCTCTGTCACCGACTTCTGCGTGGTTCGGTGACAGTGCTTTGTCAGAAGGCAACCCTGGCATACTTGCCGTCAGCCAGCCAGTCACATCGCCAGAAATCTTGGCAAAAATGTTCAAGCCTCAAGCTCTTCTTGACAAAGCAAAAATCAACCAAGGGTAAGTTTTAAAATCTACACACAATTGAAGAGTTTCTTCATCCAATTAGAGGTGGGAATGGTTTACTGAACGTGTGTTGCTTTGTTCCGCTGCCCTTGTTAACTGTCCAGGTGGCTTGATTCCTCGAGATCTCTCATGGAGCAGGATGTGAAGGAGAATGAGGCCTTGCTACTTCGATTCAAGTATTACAGCTTTTTTGATTTGAATCCAAAGGTACCTGGGGTTTAGAGGAATTCTTTTTCCTTTTTGTTTTATTCATTTGGATGCTTGTTTTTTAGAAGTTGGTGGGATTAAGGGAAAGTTTGTAAATAGCGAATCTTGAATTCCAAAAACCCAAAGGATTAGACAAAGCCATCTGTTTTTTAAATAAATGTATTGTTTTAGAATATAAATGTGAAAGTATAAGTAAATCTTTTTCTTTTTTTTTTAAAGGTAATTGAATTTTTGGTTGATTTGTATTTTAAGGGCAGTAATTTGGTAAAAGAAACAGAATTGGTAAAGTTTGTTTTGGATTTTTTTTCATACCTCTCAAAGTGCACTTTAGGTTAAAGAAACATTTCTGAAAGATTACCTTTTCAATTACTTTGATTTCTAATTATATACCCAAAGATGTTGCTTAAAAAAAAAATTGTTCTTTAAGTTTGTATGTCTTTCTGTCTTATAACGAAACGTTGTAATATATTTTTACTATCAACTGATTGCTACTAAAACACTTTGTTTTCCTGATAAGATTTAAATTTACCATGAAAATATGGAGTATTTTACCCCAAAAAAGACATGGCACAGAGATTTGGATCTTTTGCTTCCCTATCATCTATGGCGGGGAGGGAGTCTCTTGCCTACTTCCTCATCCTTTCCAGCCTAGACTATAAGTCTATAGTTTAATGTATATTGTTATTTTTATTAAGTGCTTAAATAATTCATTATACTAATATAACAGTAAAAATATTGAACTATAAAAAAATCTTTGTTCCTTTTCAGGCCATATCATAGCTAATTTTAGTAAAACCATATCATACCTAATTTTAGTTAAACCAAAATTTTGGGAACATTAAGTACATTTGCTGGAGGCAGGAAAGGGATTTTGTATTTTGTTAACATTCTAAGATTGTGTCAATATATTACTATTAATTTTTATTAACATACATAAATAGAATTCAGTAATGTGTATAAATCTTTTCTACAATCTATATGTGGACCCACTATTTTATCTGATTATGCTTTTCCACAGTGAGCAAGATGTCCCTGAAATAATTTACTCTCTGATTATGATATAGTATGTCAAGTTGCAATAATAATTTGGAAGAGCAATCCTTACCTTACTTTAATGTCTTCAAGTTAGATTTTGTTAAGGAATGTAATAACTAATGGTTATTTCCCTGGAAAATAACATACAGAATCTATTTTTAATATTGAATATCAATTTTTTGACATATTTCATTGCCATTTTTAATGCAAAATTAGATGCAGATTTATACTCTAATCCTATAGGTATATTTATATCCATTATTGCATATTTGATAGTGAATAAAATCCCAGAAAAGAAAATTCATTCAATTTTTCTTATAAAGCTTTAAAGTGAATATTCAGAGTTTTCAAACTTTTGGACATTAAAAGTGATATATTATAAAAGAATTGTGTCTCTTTTGCTGCAGTATGATGCAATCAGAATCAATCAGCTTTATGAGCAGGCCAAATGGGCTATTCTCCTAGAAGAAATTGAGTGCACAGAAGAAGAAATGATGATGTTTGCAGCTTTGCAGGTAGTGAAGAGTATTGGTGAATGGGACATTTGTGGGGGAAAGGGTTGACTATTCCTTTTAAATAGTCAAGTGGCATATTAATCCAGTAGCATTTTAATAGCGCTTACTTTTTACTATGTAGAAAGTGAATAAACTCTTAGGAAAGTAAAATAAATATTTGAATTTTGTTTAATATTTTGTTTTATGTGAGAGTTTAGTGATATACTTGATAGTTACTTTTCTGCATCCTGTAGGAGAACAGTTATCCTCCAGCACCCCAGATGTACGCTAACCAGTTTTCCTTTGGAAACAGTCTATGTTAAAAGTCAGATTGCTGAACACTTACTTGCATAAGTTCATAAACAGTTGGAGATAATGATATTTATAAAGTGGGGTAAGGGAGAAATAATACTTTTTAAGAAGGTAAAAATTTAAAAACTAGTGAAACTAACCAAAATATCAGTAAGTATTTAGAGTCATAATCCTTAAGAATAAGTAGGTAAATTAAACCAGTGGTTTTCTGAATGTAGTTCTTGCATACCACCTGCTTCATAATTACAGTAGGACTTATTTAAAAAAACGTCCACTTCATCATGGCTACCCCTTTGATAAAATAACTAAGGTGGCGTCCACAAATCAGCATTCTTAGAGGCACTGAGGTCTGATTAACCACTAGATTAATCTTTCTTATATTTCTGATACCTGAGTAAGGCTTCAGTAAATGTTCTTAGATATGGTGGAATTCTGGCTTCACCTAATGTATTGATTGATGCAGTAATCAAAACTGTATTCCTTTCTGAAAAGTTTTCACTATGATTTTTCCCTTTAGAACACAAAAATGCTCTCACTATCCCAAGTGCTTCTGTGCACTTAGAAAAGTTTTCTAGTTAAGACTCATAAATTACCCATTAGAGAGGAAGATCAACTAATTTCTTTGTAGTTACATGATGAAAGAAGACAGTGGAAATGAAGCCCAGAAAAGGAAAATCTGTGATGACAGATGAATTAGTTTAATCAGATATTTTCTGGAGAGTAGTTAAGACTCTTCTATTGTGCCTTTGGATGCGATTCAGACTGTCTGAAGAAATTGACTTAAATTCTGGAGCTACTTTATTTTCAGAGTTCCTCAACTTGGCTATGACTTTCTACCTACATCTTTCTTGGTTAGAATGTGGGCTTGTAATTTTTTAGTGAGGATTTTATCAATGACAGAGTAATGATACATGTAAAATATATGGGGAAAACGACAGATTTTTTTTTTTTGTTTTGTTTGTATTTTGTCTTTTTATTGTAAAAACTAGAGGCCCAGTGCATGAATTCATCTGGGTGGGGTTCCTTGGCCTGGCCAGCGTTTGGACAATCGGGGCCAGTATGGGCAGGGGTCATAAGGAGGTTGGCTGTAGGAGCACACTGACCTCTGGGGGCAGCTCCTGCATTGAACATCTGCCCCCTGGTGATCTGTGTGCATTATAGCGACTGGTCAACCAGTTGTTCGGTCACTTAGGCTTTTATTTATATAGATAATGCATTCTTTTTTTAAAAAAAAAAACCAACATATTATAGCGTTTAGCACATAATAGTTGTTCAAAAAGTATTTGTTGAAAGAGTATTCCTAGACATATTGTCACAGAAATGGGATTATTCTGCAGCTTCCCCAAGCCAGTGTACAGGCGATAGTCCATTTTAGTGTAGTAAAAAACACTTCAGGAACCATAGATTTTTAATTTGTGGAGACTGAATGTCTCAAAGCACAGCTCTCTTGGGCTATTTTAGAATCTAGATTTAATGAGAGAATTTAATACTGCAAATCCTTGAGTTGTTAGAAGCTTTCCCAGAGACTGACCTGAAGGCTCGAGATAGCCAACCAGTATCAGAAGGGGGAAACTTTTGAAAGTATGGCAAAGAGATGCCTACTGTTTATTTCATACATGGCCTACACTCTGAACTATTCTGTCTTTGGGGCTTCTGGTTCCGGGTGGTATAAAATCTACAGTAATGAAAAGAAAAAGTAATTCAAGTAAGAAGCTGTGGATAAAAAAATGAAGTAGTTAATAACACGGGGTTTTGTGGGGTTCTTTGTTTGTTTGTTTCTTTCTTTGTTTTTTAAACACACTGGTATTTGGAGAGAAGGAGAGAAAGATAAAAACACCAGCTGCCTCCCACACACTCCCCGACCAGAGATCAAACCTGCAACCTGGATGTGTGCCCTGACTAGGATCAAACCTGCAACCTTTTGATGGCATTGGACGATGCTCCAACCAACTGCACTACCTGCTCAGGACACCACTTTGTTTTTAAAGCATTTAATCGAAGAACTAATGCATCAGAATCACCTAAGACACTTAGTAAAACTGTAGATTCCAGCTGAACCCCAGATTGACTGAATTGGAATCTCTGAGAGTAAAGCAAGAATCTACTTTTTTTAACCAGTTCTCCACATGATTTCTATTATATTCTGATGTTTGAGGCCACTGCCTGTGAGAGCCTCAGCCTACCTTTTCTCCATGATTTGTGAACTTGGAAGTTCCTACCACTCTAAGGATCTCATTTCAGCACAACTGAAGGCATAACCACAGACTTTTCATTACTAATTCACTAAATCTTTAAAATACAGAGGAACATTGATAATTGGCCTCAGATCCCTCTCATTAAATGTTCCCACGTATAGATTATATGCTGTGAATATACTTCAGACATTTGAAGTGCTACTTAGGGCTTTGAAAGGTAACTGATTAAGGGGTTTAAGGTGCTGTTTACTTTTGTATAAGACCGCTGTAAGGTTTAACATCCAAATGTAATCGATCAATAATAGTTCTAAGTCAATCACCTAAAGTGTATTTAAAATCATGACTAGTCCGGTGAAGCCAGGCCCGGAGCAGCAGCAGGCATGCCCGGAGCAGCCAGGTCGGGAGCGGCAGTGGCCAGACCCGGAGCAGCTGGTTATGGAACGGACCAGAGCAACAGAGGCCAGGCCCGGAGCAGCCAGGCCCGAAACAGCTCGCTCCTCGCCTGCCTCCGCCCCAAGGCTGCCTCTCAGACATGGCTGGAAACTTTTGGGGGAACTTGAGGGTCTGCTGAATCAAGTGATGAAGGCTTAGATCTGGATGGTGTTGAGTTAGTATAGGGCTGGGGTGTTGATCTGTGAGTGCCTTGTGTGGGGCCTGGATGAGGTTGGTTGATCTGTTTGGAAATGTCTTTTGTGTGAAGTGTATCCTTGGGCATGTGGAGGTATTATTGATTTGAGAAAATGCTAAGTAACTGATTTACTATCTGAAAAATTTAAAGTTCTGAAAATTTAAGGTCTCTTGCCAAAAAGAGGTTTTAAAGCTAACACCTTAATTTTAAAGGGAATGACAAGCCCTTCCCACCCAGAACAGGCAATCCAATTCCAACCAGCAGCTATGTTTAAACAATGTGTCCATTTATGGGAGGGGAGTGGACTGACTGTTCTGGGGAAAGGGAGGGAGGAAGAGACTGAACATAAACTGTGCACCTATGGATGAGGACAATGGGGGGTGTGGAGGGGACGGAGGGTGGGGTGGGAACCTGGTGGAAGGGGGAAGAAATGAGGAACCTTTGTAATAATATGAACAATAAAGATTGATTTTAAATAAATAAATAAATAAATAAATAAATAAATAAATAAAATACCAGCTGCTTGGCAATAAATAAATAAATAAAATCATGACTAGTAATTCTATACCCAAAGATTTTTTTATTTACATAAAGGATTGTTATCACTACTTATGGGTGGCTAACATCTTATCATTCTTATGTATAATATAAACAACATCCCCCTCTGAGCGTATTTTTAGCATTGAATTAAGGAAAAGGGAAAGTGCAGCTTTAGCTTTCAATATGATCGCGATAACTAACATTCCCTCTCCGGGTAACAGTGTGATTATAAGGTAATCGATGTTATTTCCACAAATGGCCTTATGCCTGCTCTGTTCATTCAGTATTTATAGGTTCCAGGCCCTGTTCAGGGAATAGTGTGTGTAGAGCTTAGTGAAGGATGTGTTAATACTCTTAAGGCCTAGGCCTCCCATGAATTTATTTGACTATGTTCAAATACCCTATTCTTTTGGATAAATACTTATTAGCAGACTTAGGGCTTTGATTTCTGGTGTTGTGCCCTTTATTTTCCTACCATTCTAGTTCCTGTTTACTTTTATCTTTTCAAATTAGGTGATGAAAAGCACTCACTCTAGCTGTGGGTAATAATCTAATTTTCAAGTTTTACATTTAGAACGATCATTTAAATAAAATGTCTTTCCTGGTTTCAGTATCACATCAATAAGCTGTCCATCATGACATCAGAGAATCATCTGAACAACAGTGACAAAGACGTTGATGAAGTTGATGCTGCCCTTTCAGACCTGGAGATTACGTTGGAAGGGGGTAAAACATCAACAATTCTGGTAGGGTGAATCTTTTAACCTGCTAACTTAGTTTGAATGATGCTTATTACCTTTTTGTCAATTTAGGTTCTGGTGAAGTATTAAGGGGTTGTAGAGAAATATTTAATGCCTTAGAGAGTTCAGACATCAGTGTTTCAGAAACTAAAAATTAATATTGTACCTCCAATAAAGGTACAGATTTTCTGATACTCTGCACATTCTCTTACAAATAGTAATAGAACATTTCTGCAGAGGAAAAGTTAATCTCAAGTCATGGATAAATCCATTTAGTGCCCTCCAAATTTGAAATCGTATTAAAAAAAAAAGGACGTTTTTCAGATGTTAAGTTTGGTTTTATGGCTTTAACGCTTAGGAATTAGTTATATAAGAAACATTTCTCTCAGGCTGTTAGGATTTATAAAATTTCCATAATGTAGACACAGTGTTAGCTGTATTAGAATCAACAATGTATTCTTGTGGGTTATATAAATTGCCATTTCATCAGATTTTATTAGCTTTTTGTGACATTTAAAAATGCCTTTGTACTATATGGCTATATAATACAAATTATATCATTGTAATCTGTATTTTACATATTTTTGTTAAGTAAGCTGGTTCTTGATATCAGATACCAGATATTAGAGTTTCTCATTTGAAGAAAAATAAGAAAAAGAAATGATTAAATTCTTTCCCTAGGGTGACATTACTTCAATTCCTGAACTTGCTGACTACATTAAAGTTTTCAAGTAAGTACACAAAACAGAGGGATTCCAAATAATAAACGTCAGTTTTGTAGTTATATTCACATTATTGAAAATTTTGTTTGGCTAGTAAATCTGTAAAAACACTTTCCAAATAGAACACTGCATTATCAACTTAAAATTATAATACTAAGTTGTTTTATCTGATAAATATTTTTCTTTAGGCGAAAAAATAAAGAATATAACCTAGGTTGCATCATGTAGATTGTGAAATCATGTAGGCAGTGATATATCAGTATAAAGAAACTAATCTGGGCAAAAGCATAGTATATAACGAACTAATTACTGCCAGTTATTTCCTTGAACCCTAGGTTCTGTTGAATTTCATTTTTTTCATGGAACATTTTATAATTAAGGTTTCAGTATATGTTATCTAATCTAGACTTTTATTTTTTTAAAAATATATTTTTATTGATTTCAGAGAAGAAAGGAAAGGGAGAGAGAGATGGAAACATAAATGATGAGAGAAAATCATTGATTGGCTGCCTCCTGCACACACCTCACTGAGATCGAGCCCACAACTCAGGCATGTGCCCTGACCAAGAATCAAACCATGCTCAACCACTGAGCCATGCTGGCTGGGCATGTTAAAACAATCTAGACGTATTCCACAGAATCACGAGAGCTGGTCATTAAGGCAGAGGAAAGGAGAGGTGTGGAATCTGACATGATATCATGGAATAAAACATTTGCTGTGGCTAAATATCAAACAGTTCAACATACATAACATTTCTGAAACAGGGTATGCTTTCGGATGCTTGCTGCCTCTCCCCTGCCTTCTTTGCCATTTATACACCTTTTTCATCTACCTGTACCTTTCTTTATCTACTCTCCTCATGACTGCCCTGTCTTTGTTATATCTGACATGGGAGTGGCCAGTTAAAGTCACCATGGAGCTACAGCCCTGAGAGAGACAGGCACTTGCCTCACTGAGTCATGTGAGGTAAGCTCGCTCTAGTCATGCGAGTTACTCGCTCTAATCATGTGAGGTAAGCTCGCTCGTTCAGAGAGGCTCCAGGGCAGCCCTCGGACACCGTCAACCTGTGGGCACTTATGGGACCTGGGATATTTCCAATTCCTGACATTTACTTCACCTTTCTTTTCCCATCCTTCCCATGTGACCTGCTGTGATACAGGCGGCTGCAGCTATGGCAGCACCAGAATGTTGGCCCTGCCGTCTTTCTCCTGTGCCCACTCGCTTTGTGAGGGCCTCCCACGCAGATGGATTGGGAGCGCAGGGGCAAATCAGGAACAGCAGGATTGAATAGAACACACTGGCCCAGGGGAACTGATTCGGCAGATGTAAAACCCGGCCTTAGACGTTTAACATGGTGAAGCTTGGTGCTAAAACAGAGCATTGATAACGTTATTTCATTCCATTTGACACACAGGCCAAAAAAGCTGACTCTGAAAGGTTATAAGCAGTATTGGTGCACCTTTAAAGACACATCTATTTCTTGCTACAAGAGCAAAGAAGAGTCCAGTGGCACGCCCGCTCATCAGATGAACCTCAGAGGTAAGCCTTGGCATGACCACTGCTGGTGGAGAATATCCGTTCCCGGATCGCCGTGCAGCTGTGCCCCCCCGGGAGGCCGGTTCTGAAGTGTTCGGGAGTTGGTTATTCCTATCAGCCCAGCCCAGACTCTTTGGGTTGCATTTTACATGCACATGTATTATATGTAAGGCAACTTGGACAAAAGCACCAAAGAAAAAGGTCCCCTAATTCATTTCACAGAAATGATTCCCCAAATAATTTCACTTACCACTTAAAATACAGATGTGTTTTTCCTGATCTTTTTTTAGTACGTTGAACGTTAGGGTGTTTTTAGTATATTTTAACAAAATTTCCAAATCTCTACTTTATCTGTATTTGCCCCCAGTAGTTACCTGAACTGTTTTAGAGTTTATAAGCATTATAAAAACAAAACAAAAACAAAACAAAAAAAAACAGAAAACCTCTGCTATGCCCAAGTGTTGGAATTCTGTAATTTTCCTAAAACTTTTCATTAGTCTCCCTGCCTTTCTCTCTCAGTCACATGAATTTAACTTTGGGTCTCAACCAATGTTTGTTACTCAGAATCCGTTTTAGCTTTCTTCTCTAAACTCAGATTATCCACTCCTGAATCAGAGACGAGCTCTGTCTTCTGGCCTCTGGCCTTTCAGTCCTTTCTGTCCCTGTTACATCCTCAGTCTTCTCCCAGGATGACTGAAAAGTCAAGTCCTGGTGTGGAGAACAACTCACAAGGAGCTCTCCTCCCGCCTCTCCCCAGTCCTCCCAAAGGAGCACTTTGCGGGCACCTCACACCGAGGAAGGAAACACTAGAGGGTCTAATGGCCAAGGCTCTGCCCTGCCACTAAACAAACCCGGTGGTTTTGGAAAAATAATCTGTGTGGACCTCAGTATCTCCCTCTGAGAAATGAATCTTTCGGACTAGATGGTCTAAGGCCCCTGAGAGGTATAAACTGCAAAGTTCTAAAAAATTCAGTTTAGCTCAGCTGGCGGGGCTTAGTGGTTGAGCATCGACCTATGAACCAGGAGGTCATGGTTCAGTTCCCAGTCAGGACACACGCCTGGATTGTGGGCTCGATTCCTGGTTTGGGGCATGCAAGAGGCAGCCGATCAATAGATATCTCTCCCTTCCTTTCTGGAACCAATAAAAATGTATTTTAAAAATAAATAAATTCAGTTTAGCAACTATAAATTGAACCCCTGTGCCACATACTGCTGGGTACTATTGAAACATGAGCAAGAACAAATAGTCGTCCCAGCCCTCAAGATGTCTAGAGCATGTTGGGAAGGTAAACAATTACAACTGAGGCAATAACTAGTACTTTAAAAATTAACAAGTCAAAGCGGGTAAGGGTATTGTTTCAGTTAGTCTTCAGGAATGGTGGAGAGAGTTGGGAAAGACTTTGCAGGGAAAATGCTGTTGGACTTAGGATCCAAAAGAGAAAACTCAGATCTGGGGAAGGAAAGAGAGGGCAGGGAAAAGAGCCTTCCAGGCAGAGACTGTGTGAAAAGTGCCTGGAGAAAGGTGGATGCAGAATGCAATCAGGAGAGGGATACTTCCCAACAGCTGTTGAAGCTGGTTCTGCTAACTTGAGAGGAAAAGCAGGAGGCGTTGGCAAGAATTTGTGGATAAAAATGTTAAGGAGATTGTTTCTTAAAGCAGCAGCAATGAAGTGCCAGTGAAAAATTAACCTGAAGCGACAGCATCCATCATATTTATATTGGCTGCAGTTTAGAGGAATAGCTTCAGATAGTGCTAGTGATCCAAGTTAAGGCTATCAGTACGGATGGAAAAAGGGTACAAATCCAGTAGATACTGAGGAAGTTCAGTCCATAGACGAGGTGATTGACATGGGCGGGCCCAGAGGGAAAGGACTTCTTTCTGGCTTGTGTGCAGCTCGGTGGATAGGGTGTTACTGAGATTGGAAGTGACATGAGCTAAGTTTGGGGAGAAAGATGAGTTTAATTTTGGGATATGTTAAATCTGAGGTACTTTGTCCTGGGTGGTGTGGCTCAGTCAGAAGGAGCATTGTCCCATACACTAAAAGGTTTCAGGTTCAATTGTCAGTCAGGGCACACACTTAGGTTGCGCATTTGATCCCAGGTCTAGTCTGGGCGCATGTTGGAAGCAGCTGATCGATGTTTCTCTCATTGATGTTTCTCCCTTTCTGTCCTTTACCCTCTCTAAAAATCAATGAAAATGTCCTCGGGTGAGGATTAAAAAATAATAATAAATAAATAAATTTGAGGTATTTGTGAGATATCTTTTTGGAGATGACCTGAAGGCCATTGGATCATGGGAGAGATCTATGTTACAGATATGCTATGGTAGCAGTTAGCATGAATGGTAAATGTAGCCATTGGAATGACTGTCTAAAATATAAGAAGGCCAAGAACAGAATCTGCGGAAGACTCATTTTTAAGGGACAGTGCATATTTTGTTTGTAAAGGAAACAAAAAAAAAGTGTAAAATTTTAGAAATAATATACAGTAGAAGCTAAGGTAAAAGTTGACTAAAAAAGACATAACCCAGCATCAAATGCTACAGAAAAGATAAAGATTGATAGCTTCCATAGATTGTTAGCTTCCACCACATGCAGTGGTGGCCTTCATTAAGGACAGATTCAGCAGTTTTGAGTGTGAGAGTCAAAGTTACAGTTATTGAGAAGTAAGTAGAAAATAAAGACACCTTTTTAAAAAATTGGTTTTAGATAGAGGAAGAGAGGGAGAGAGAAACATCGATCTGTTATCCCCTGCATAGGGATCGAACCCACAGTCTTGGTATGTGCCCTGACCGAGAGAGACGTGAACTCGGTACAGTTGCAATTCCCTCTAGCGAGCGTTGACATGTACATTGTCTGACTTATCCCTACAGCATCCCTGTGAGGTAAAGGCAGGAAATTTGGGCTTTGAAATGTTAAGTAAATTGGTCATAATTATTAAATGCTAGAGAAAGCTCCTCTCCACTACATTATACTGGCCACTTCTTGTTTATGCCGACCAAAACCCCATTATCTAACTGGGTATATGTTTAATAAACCTGTGTTTTCTCCTGGAAAGCTACCAGCTGATGCTTAAAAGAGTTGAATCACAGGGCTCTGAAGAGGCTCTGTATAGGATTCTAGCTCAAACTGGCTAATCCCCCTCACACACTAGTCTCAAGGCATAATAAAAGTCTTTTTTTTTTTTTTCTCCTAACTCAAATACAATTACGTTAGAAAATAATTAAAGAACGATATTTTAAAATTCCTATACATTTAGAAACAGAAATCGCAAATAACTTGAAGATTCAAAGTACTGTATGATACTAAAACAGCACATACCAAAACTCGTTGGAGTGCAAGTTGTGGTTTCTGGTCATGTCTTTTCACTTGGAGCCTTTCCTTCTCTTCCCAGTCAGGTTTTGTGGATTGTGAGGCCACAACCTCTGAGCCATTGCCTCTGGATTAGATCTCTCTGATTCTGCTCCATCCAAACAAAATCCCTGGGCATAAAGAATTCACTCCTTGATTTATAAACCCACACAGCAGAATGCTACAGGATAAGATGATGCCATAAAAGAAGGGATCCCTGTATTGGCTGGGGATTTCTTAAAAGTAAATTTAACTATTTTAATAATGATTTTTTTTTTTTTATAGGATGTGAAGTCACCCCAGATGTAAACATTTCAGGCCAAAAATTTAACATCAAACTCCTGATCCCAGTTGCAGAGGGCATGAATGAAATTTGGCTTCGTTGTGACAATGTGAGTTTTCCAGTTCCTCAGTGAATTATCCCGTTATCCTTCTGTTTTATGCTCCAAGGACCCATCCTGAAATCCAGCTCACACCTCGGTATTCCTTTTCAACAGGAAAAGCAGTATGCCCACTGGATGGCAGCCTGCAGATTGGCCTCCAAGGGCAAGACCATGGCGGACAGTTCTTACAACCTGGAAGTTCAGAATATTCTTTCCTTTCTGAAGATGCAGCATTTAAACCCAGATCCTCAGTTAATCCCAGAGCAGATCACAACGGATATAAATCCTGAGTGCTTGGTGTCCCCTCGCTACCTAAAAAAGTACAAGAACAAGCAGGTACTTGATTCATTTTATTCCAGCTAACGCTTTCTACTGGTTGATTTCACAGTTTTGTGCACATACTTTAAATTGAGTTTCTCCTCTTACACAAAACTTTTAGTCTTAATTGGAAGTCTAAATGTCACCAGGTGGTTCGAATATAAAGTTGGAAATAGCTTTCAGTTTAAATTGATAATTTTTTTAAAATGCCTTTATCATTTTTTAATTTTTTAAAGAATATGGAACACTTCACGAATTTGCATGTCATCCTTGCACAGGGGCCGTGCTAATCTTCTCTCTATCGTTCCAGTGTGTGCTGCCAAAGCGGGCACTGTTCCTTTTATCACCTTAATATGGCAGATAATGAGGTAGAATAGTTGGGAGTATATTTATTCTAAACAACTTGAGGAAACCACTCTGTTAACAGGAATTAAATAGGGCCTTAATGCTTTGTGTTCCTTAATTCATGCAGTTGTTTCATTTCCCACCAAAAGCTATCTTGACTCTTTTTGCTGTTGTTGACTTTTTCATCTTTGAAAAAGTCAATTTTACAAGGTAGAGATAGTCTACATTTAAGCATCACCTTTTTTTTTTTTTTTAACATAAACAGTCAAAACCTAACCAAGATTTGCATAAAATGGCAATATTTGGCAAATTTTCCCTGATATTTACTGATTTTGTTCACTTTGTTTAGAATTCCTTTCCTGGAAATTAATACTATAAAAGGATTGCTATTTAGGAAAAACGGTTCTTTGGAAACAACATAAAAAGGTTTCTTGCAGGGGAATTTCACTTGGGATAACCCCAGTGTTCTCCACGCCAAGCATCCTGCCGTAAAAGGAAAAGCTGCCGTTTGGAGGATGGGGGTGGGGAGTGAAGATCTTTAAAATAAATATTTTTATCTAGTATCCTTTTGATCTTTTAAGAAATAATTTGGAAACATTGCTGGAAAGGCCCAGAACAACTAGTAGTTCTTAACTTGAAATACAATGCTTATCATATGAGTCTAATGTCACATAAGTAGAAATTTAAAATGTTTAGGCGTTTTAATCGCCAAATCTTTCTTTAGGTTTCTGAGGTTGTGTAAGCTACATGGAAATTGTTTTTCCCACAGCCCTGCGAGGTGGGGGAGTAGGGAATGGAGGAAATGCTGCCCTGGGGAGCTCTGCGGAATGTAGGTTGTAAATTAAAAGGCAAAGTGAATCAAAGATTAATACTGATTTACTTATTTTTATTCTTGGTCATTTCATTTTAAGATTATTTGAAAAGAAACTTGTTTCAGAAAGTAGATGCATTTGCCTTCAAAGGCAGTGAATAAATTCAAATCTTCGCAGTCATATTTTCACTATCAAGTATCAGTGGATAAGGATATTAAAGTGTAGTTATCAAAACAGCCAAATTTTGGTTTTCTTAGAAACTTTTTAAATGGCAGGTTTTCACTTTGAGAAAGTTGTGAACACTGGATGTCTGACTCTCCTTAGCTGGCGGGATGGCAGTCTGTGTACGGTCACAGTTAGGGTTCCTCTAGCCCGTCTCCACATCGGCATCTTATCAAATGCACATTCTTCTTAAACATGTTTTTATTGATTTTTAAAGAAAGAGGAAGGGATAGGCAGAAAGAGAGAGAATCAGCTGTGAGAGAGGAAAACATCAACTGGCTGCCTCCTACACACTCCCCACTGAAGATCAAGCCTGCAAGCCAGGCTCGTGCCCTGACTGGGAATCAAACCAGTGACCTCTTGGTTTATGGGTCTACACTCAACCACTGAGCAACACCAGCTGGGCGCTCATTCTCTTTTAATCCTCCTTTCCCTAACTAGACAGACCATGTATTGCCCTATCACTTATCAGGGTCCTTGGACAAAGCGCTCAGTAATTATTTAATCTGTATAATCTAGTGGCCTTCAGGAGTGAGTTAGGAAGATTTGTGTGTAGGCCTGAGTTCATTCATCCCTACCAGGGCATAAATGCATTGTTTTCCTTTTCCTTTATTTTTTATTGACTTCAGAAAGGGAGGGAGAGATAGAAACATTGATGGATGAGAGAGAGAATCTTTGATTGGCTGCCTCCTGCACCCCTCTTCCTCTCCCCACTGGGGATTGAGCCTGCACATGGGGCATGTGCCTTTACCAGGAATCCAGTTGTGACTTCCTGGTTCATAGGTCAATGCTCAACCACTGAGCCATGCTGGTTGGGCTAGCCTTTGTTATATTTAAATCTATTTGAATTCTTCAAAGCTACATATTAATTGAACTTGCTGTGGATATTTTCACATGAATATGACTCCCAAACTATTAACATGGTTTTATCCATGTTAATCCAGACTGCAATGGCCTAATATGTTTCTAGACACCATTCCTAGCGTAGTGTATGGCATCTCTTTATTTTCCCTTCCAGGAAAAAGGATGCAAAAAACAGATGGTAATTGAGGTGTTTGTTTTTCTTGTGTAAATAAACAGTGTGAGCTCTACCTATGTTTTGCCTTCAACTTACGTATGAAAAGTGGTGCATGGATCATGTTATCTGACTTGATCTGAGACAATGTTGAAGACTTTTAAATATTAATTTTGATTTTGCCACTAAAATAGTTTTACTCTAACCAGTAAGAACTGGTACATGATGGGGAAAAGGTATTTCCTCTTTTAATTTTCTCCCTCAACTTTCTCTACCTTTAATTTTAGTAACACTTAACCACCTAAAATAACGTATTCTAAATGGAAATAACCACTGCTTCCTCGCTCTCATTCTCATGCTTGCATTCACTTTGCTTGGTTTCCACCCACAGTAATTTTTGCATGGTTTTTGGCTGGAATTTTGGTTTGCAGGTTACCGCAACTTTTCCTTTGCTTCATTACCATTTTTTCTGATTGCCTTTTTTTTCTTTCTGCTTCCTTTTCCTTTTCCTCGCATTGCCATCTACAGCCAGGCTATATAAGAGACTTGGTAAGTTCGCCATGTTTACCAAAAAAAGAATGAAAATATTAAAGCCCTCGCTACAATCTCCCCTCATGTATTAATTTCCTTCCATTCCTTATGGGAGTATGCTTCCCGAAGTAAGTATAATTTAAATTAAAATTGAACTTTTCTAATGATTCCTTTAGAAAAACTTTATGATGGTAATAAATATTCCTGCTATAAACTTGTATTCTAGGTACTCATTCTGATCATATATCTTGATGCTAAATTTAAAACTTAACGTGTATGTGAGGATTACAACGTGCCCTTTTATAATAGTTATCAGACATGTGTGTACTTGGAATGTGTCGAGTGGCAGTTTTGTATTCCTACTAGTACTTTTTGTTTCATGATATATGGAAACTGAAATTAAGAAGAAAGATACCAAGGTTTGTTTGGAAAAGTCATTTTACTAAAATTCCCAAATGTAGGTTTCTAATTTCAACTCTTGCAACATAGGACTTTGGGGTGGGACACACAGTTCAGTTTTTTTAATCTTTGTCTTGAATCTGCCCTGGAACAATACTGTACTGTTAAGGTGATGTTGGTGTTCAATCATGTTTAGATAACAGCGAGAATTCTGGAGGCCCACCAGAATGTAGCTCAGATGAGTCTCATTGAAGCCAAGATGAGATTTATCCAAGCGTGGCAGTCCTTGCCGGAGTTCGGCATCACACACTTCATGGCAAGGTCAGTGGTTCTCTGGGCACCTGCAGGTAAACCTCAATCTGTGCTTTTTACTTAATCTACTGCACGGAATTAAATGCAACCTTCAGAGCCACCAACTGAGGCCCATTACTTATTTTACAGTAAAATTTAAAGATGTTGGAATATGTTTTCTAGACTTGTAAGTTTTACATTAAACATTCAAAATGATTGCATTTCTGTTTTTAATTGTGTAAGATTGGCACTATGTTTTAGAGCTCATGTGCACATCTGGAAGAAACAGGCCAACATGTCCCCTCACCCCTAATACGTTTTTAATGCTTCAGGTTCCAAGGGGGCAAAAAAGAAGACCTTATTGGCATTACATACAACAGGCTGATCAGGATGGATGCCAGCACAGGAGACGCAATTAAAACCTGGCGTTTCAGTAACATGAAACAGTGGAATGTAAACTGGGAAATCAAAATGGTAAGCTGCGACGGTATTAATGGAAGGCTGCTAAAAAAAAAAAAAAATAGTAAATGTAAGGATAAAAGGCCCCATAAGTTAGTTCTGAGGATTATATGTACCGTTACTTCTTAAAGTATAAAACATGGTTAGGTATTCATTCCCCACTTAAACTTGCCTATTTCATAATTAAACCCCTTTATTATAATTCTAAGAACATAATGACCTACTTGGAATATCGGCTTATCTTGTTAAGGTGGTCTTTCTATAATGGATAAACCTTTAATGGATAAACCTTTAACTCACAATAGCAGCTGCTCTTTAATGAATGTGTATCCTGTTTCTGAAGCTCAGCACAGCTTTGTGAGGGAGATGGGTCATCCCTACTTTCCAAATGAGGGTGTAAAACAGAGGCCTCAGGGCTGCCATTGTCCACGATCACACACGTAGTAACAGAATCAGGATTCAAACAGAAGGTGAGGGCGCTAAAACCTGGCACTTCTCCTGCCATATATCATGCTGCCCCCAGCCTTAGAATATATGCATTGCTATCGTATAAAATAAACAGAATTTTCACTAATTAATCGTTTGTTTTAAGATCTCTGGGTTTGTTGCATCAATTCCTATTACTTCATTAAGAATCTCATGTTTCTGAAGTATTTAAACATGATACCTAAAGGTTAAATATCTAAAGCAAATATTAAATTAAACACAGGAAGTAGATTTTTCTCCCAGGCCTGGGAGAGAGAGAATCTCATTAATCGAATCACCAGAGACCATTGGGAACTTAATGACCTAAACCCCTTGCCTTCCTTTTCAGAACATGAGTGGGGGAGAGGCTCGTAACCTTTTCTTATGCTTTTGGACTTAAAGGCATTATTAGTTTAGGATTTAAAAAAAAAAAAAAAAAAGAGGTTCAAGTATTTCATAATAGAGCAGAGCTTCGCGGGAACCACTCCTCAGGAGTTTTACTGGGACTTACCGGCGCTCTGTCCTTGTTCCAGGTCACGGTAGAGTTTGCAGATGAAGTCCGATTGTCCTTCATTTGTACGGAAGTAGATTGCAAAGTGGTTCATGAGTTCATCGGTGGCTACATATTTCTCTCCACACGGGCCAAAGACCAGAACGAGAGTTTAGATGAAGAGATGTTCTACAAACTCACCAGCGGGTGGGTGTGAATTGAAGTACTGTGTAACGAAACTCCACGGCCATAACAATATTTAACTTTAAAAGCTGTTGTTTGTTATATGCTGCTTAATAAAGTAAGCTTGAAATTTATCATTTTATCATGAAAACTTATTTGCCTTACCAGACCAGTTAATATGTGCACTAACAAGCACTATAATAACCTGCTATCGTGATAACAGTATATGAACTTGAACATGGCACACATTCCTGAGGGCCAAGAATTGAAAACCAAAGTAGTGGGCAAGTCAGGAACAAAATGTCACTGATTGTAAGCTAGCCAAACTAAGAAACTCAAGCCATCTACTTTACAGCTATCCAGGGCTTTAACTATATGAAGTCTATTTATCGTGTTTAATGCATGTGTTTCAATATATGTTTAATTTGACCTAACGTTCTTAAAATCATACTTCTGGTAGCCATTTGAAACCCCTCACCCCTCAATAAATCAGGCCTACAAAAGATGCCTGATATTTAATAGTGTCATTGTTTAACCTTGAAGGAAAACACTATATTAGTCTGTTACACTTGGTTTATTTGTTTTTTTGTCTTTGAATGAGCATGTATGTATATTGTCTTGTGTTTTTATTTTCACACCATATTGTATTACAGTACTTAGTATTCACCAGCATATTCACTGTCTGCCTAAAATATGCAACTTTTGCATTACAATATGAAGTAAAGGTCTATGAAGTATGCATTTTGTGTAACTAATGTACAAACACAAATTTTATAAAATTGTACAGTTTTTAAAAAAAATTACAACTAGCAAATGGCATAGAATGTAGCATCTTTACATTAATTAAATGCTTTAAATATATAATTAATGTGCAGTTTTTAATATCTGCTAAATTAAGAATGACTTCAATATAGTCATGATTTGCCACAATGTCCTTAACTCTGATGCCTGGACTGGCCATGTTCTGGTCTGTTGTGCTGTTACAGTCTGCATTGGTGCTAGTCAAAAAAATTCCTAGCTCACATGGCCCAAAAGGGTGCCAGGGAGGGGTAGATTACCAGTATTGTCCAATAACCCGTGGGTTAAAGACTGTATAAATGCATTTTATTTTAAATAAAAGTAAAATCTTTTATTTAATGTTTCTTTATGTATTTCTTGTTTTCACGGTTTACATAGCATTTATTTTATAGAAGTGAACTTTGGCGTTTTGGAAATGCCTACAGCTTATGTTATGAGAAACAGTTGGCTAGTATTCCAAAGTGTTACTAGTCAGGATAGGTTCTTCTTTAATACAGTAAGCGCCGAGCCTGTTTTATCTTCCTTTCCGTTTCAGTCACCGGTGACTGACATGGTGCTTAAGGTGTTAAAGTGAGAATTTCTCATTTTTCCTACTATTTGAAAAAAAATGAGCTATATAATATTTAAATGTTAGAAATGTAGTTGTAAGCAAAAATATAACATAAGTAGAATTGTTGACTTGAGCAGAATTTGTTTTAAATAGCAAAATGACTCTTGGTTTAAAAAGGTATCTTGTTTATTCATTTCCTCCCTGTTACTGCTATCATTTCCTCATTCAGACTCAAAACTTTACTCCTGGACTCTGTCCTTTATCTGTTGCACTGAGTCCGGCCCCCTCAGGCAAACTTGTGTCTTTCTCCCGTCATTCATCACCAGCACCCAAATGCAGGTCTGTGTCCTGTGCCAGCCGGATGCCGCAGCCGCAGACTCTTAGAGCAAAGCTCTGGTCACATTTCCATGGCTTTTCTTCGTACTCCTTCTGAAGGCCAGGTCATAACAGGCCTGGCCCCGGGATTTAACAGCTCCTTTCCATTAAAATAGGTTTAAGTAATATATGCCCTTTCCTTGTCTTAAGTGCAGGTCTCCGTGTATAATCACTTGCTAAAGGCTCTAAATTGTATTTAGACTATGACAGCCCAAGTCCTTTACAGTCCCAACTGCTTCCCACAAGTGAGGACTGCCTCTGGTGATGTACCCGCCTCTGGTTTGCCCACTGCCCTCACTGCGATTTTGCGGTGAATTCAGCCCCAGCACGGCACCGGCTATATTTTAGCTCTGACTCCTGGTTGCCCAAAGCATAAATGCCAGGTCCTCAGTCAGGTGCTCAGAGGTTTCCTGTGGTCTGTTACCCAGCTCAGGTTTTGATCCTTATCTCCCAACATCCTGCAGTCCCACCAACTGGGCAGATCACATTTTCTAGACACGCACCCCTCTCCATGTCATTTCCCAAGCCGCCTAGTCACAACCTTTGCAATCTCGTCTTTCTAGCATTTTATTATAGAAAGAAATCAAGTATTCTTTCTTCCATTAATACTTCCAAATTTTGGGGGGAAGGGGGAGCTGAAGGGGGTAATGGGGAAAAAAAAAGGGGGACATACATACTTGCAACAATAATTATTTAAAAAATAAAAATACTTCCAAGTTACCTTGCAGCCAGAAATTTTCTCTTACTCCTATGAACCGCACTGAGTTTGGTTCTTTGTGGAACTTAAAGCAATCATCCTTATTAAAAATTGAGTCAGTCTGATTGTCCCTATTAAATTATTAGTTCCTTTGGAAATCAAGTAATTATTACAATTTAGTATATTTATAGCCTTAGCAGCTTAATACAGAGGAAATGAACATGTTTTCTGCACAGTAACTATGCATTATGAGTTTTTGCTAAGTGCTTTCACATATATTACTTCTAAAGAGTCATATAAGCTCTTTTTATAGATGAGGCTCAGAGGCCATGTGACCTGTTTTAAGTCACAGCCATAATTAGTGCCAAGGCAGAGTTGGAAGTGAACCCAAATTTCTATCTCCCTATCCAGTCCTGTTAAAAACAAAACCCTTCATTCCTCAAAAAATAAAAAATAGGACTATCATATGACCAAACATTTCCACTGCTGGGTGTTCGTTTGAATAAATCTAAAACACTATTGCAAAAAGATATATGCACCCCTATGCTCATTGCATTATTACTATATTAATTTTTAAAGAGAGGAACATCAGTCAATTGCCTCCCACAGGCACCCCAACTAGGGATTAAACCTGCAACTTGGATATGTGTCCTGACTGGGAAGTGGACCCACCACTTTTTTGTGTACCAGACGACACTCCAACCTACTGAGCGACACTGGGCAGGGCCATCACAGTTATTTACAATAGCCAAGATATGGACGGAACTTGGGTATCCATCAATAGATGAATATAGATATATATACCTACAATGAAATATCCTATTTAATAAAGAGGTAATACACGAATTGACCACCATGCCCTCACAAATATGGCAGTCCCCATAGCCAATAAGGAGAGACTATGCTAATTGACTGCCATGTCCTCAAAGATGGCAGCGCCCACAGCCACAAGATGGCGGCACCTGGTCCCCTCAGCCGCCCAGGGCCAGCCTGAGGGACAACCAAACGACTGAACAAGCAGGCTGCATGGAGCAATCAGGCTGGCAGAAATGCCATGAGAGTTAACCATAAAAAGAATGAAATCTTGCTATATGCGACAATATGGATGGGCTTAAAGGTTATGCTAAGTGAAATAAGGGAAAGACAAGTACTGTATGATTTTGCTTATATGTGGAATCTAAAATACAAAACAGACAAAACTCAGATACAGAGAATAAACTTATGGTCGCCGGAGAATTCCTCTCTAAAAATTAATATAATAATAATGCAGTGAACTATGCTGTCAGGTCAAGGTGATCACTTTGTCAAATATGTAAATGTCCAGTCACTATGCTATGCGCCTAAATCTAATATCGATGGGAGGGTGACTGGGGACAGTGGTGGAAAAGGTAAAGGTATTAAGAAGTACAAATTGTCAGTTACAAAAATAGTCATGGGGCCAGGACCAGTGTGGCTCAGTGGTTAAGCATTTACCCATGAACAAGAAGGTCACGGTTTGGTTCCCAGTCAGAGCAAGCACATGCCCAGGGTTGCGGGCTTGATTCCCAGAGGGTATGTAGGAGCCAGCTGATAGATGATTCTCATCATTGATGTTTCTATCTCTCCCTCTCCTCTCCTCTCTGAAATTGATAAAAACAAACAAACAAACAAAAAAGTCACAGGGATGTAAAGTACAGCAGAGAGAATGCAGTAATCTAATCATATACTAACTAGGCTGTCAGATCAAGGTGACCACTTCGTAAAGTATGTGAATGTCTAATCACTATGCTATGCACCTAAAACTAGTATCGGTGGGGCAAGAGTGAGTTTACAGTTGTCCATATGGAAAACAATACAGTAATTAATAAATAGTAATATAAGGAAAAAAACTTTTCGTACTTGCAACTGGAACCTACTTTTGCCCCACCCTAATAAGACTTTTAACAACAATAACAAAAAGGGACAAATACAGTCTGCCACAGGGCTGCTCTTGGTCTGTGTCAGAGCACAAGGTCAAGGATGGTGAGTGGCTTTCCTCACGTCTCTAGCAGGGGTGGGGAACCTTTTTTCTGCCAAGGGCCTTTTGGATATTTGTAACGTCATTCTCAGAGGCCATACACAATTATCAACTTAAAAATTAGCCTGCTGTATTTGGTCAAACATTTAATGAACTCACCCCTATTGCCTGGGCAGGGCCAGACCAAATGATTTCTCAGGCCTTGGACAGCCAGCCCCTGCCCAGGGTAATGGGTGTGGTAAGCAGATGGTGGGAATCCTTTCATAACCAGATCACACATATCAGGTCACCAGGATGTACTTTAAACTTTACAGGGGGCAGTTAATGTCTCTAGGTCCCTGACTTTCAGAAGTTCAAGGTTGTGCAAAAAATAACTTGTAGCAAGTTAAGATTACTGATTAACTACAACTGTGGCTTCCAGGTGTCTAACCTGCTGGTTGAAGGGAAAGAGAGGCCGGGGAATGTGGGTCGGTCCACAGGACACTGAGTGGCACGCAGCAGCATCCTGAAACTGCGTCTCTGGGGACACAGCCAGGGCTCTTCCCACAGACGGAACTGCCTCTGGAGAGACCACTACAGTAGGATTCCTCAGGATTCATTCACAATTTAAACAAATTT